AACTGTTCTCTTGCCAGTCTAACATATTTCTGCTGGCAGGATGAGGGGGGAGAGAGGCGTGAATAAACCAAGGTTTGATGCCATTATGATATGGATGGCAATCACAGATGTGGACTACTATCATGACACCTGTCCAGAAGGATGCACTTCTCTGGAAGGTTTTGATAAAGGATAGTTTTGATAAGAGATAGAGGTAAAGATTGCAGCTTTTCAGCATTCCCTGTGATTTACCAGTAAAAACAAGGCTGGTATAGACTGATATAGATGACAAGTTGTTTTTTGTTTTGTTTTGTTTTTCCACAGTGGTGTATATTTATAAGTTGTATTCTAGTTCAGACTTGGCTATAGTTAATTAATGTTTGCAAAGCACTGAAATTGAAAGGTGTTATGCAAATATGAAATATTCTTCAGATGCAAACCTTTATTTTATTTTTCAGAATGGCTGCTTGCTTTCTTCGTCAGTTATGTTTTTGCTTATGTTGTAAATGATTGGTTGCCCATGTTTGCTGTTGTAACATGTATTCATATTACCACTTTGTCTGTCTGTATTGGGATGTCTGCTTTTCAATCTCCAAGGAATTTCTTAAATGCTATGCATGCAAATTTCAGTTCACTGATGTGCAAATTACAGAGATGCTTTCCATCCCTCATAGGTAAAAGGCTGGAAGTTGCAGAAGGGGTGTATACTTGGAATGTGCACGCTGGCACAGTATTGAAACCACAGCTCTTTGAATTCATATTTTGCTTCTGAGGATTACTGCTAAATAAAAAACAGTAAAACTTAACAATGATTTTTAAATGCTTTACTCATAAATGGTCAAAACAAGCACCTTGTATACGAGGAATAAATTTTAAAACTAGGGCTTGTCTCCTGCTTAAGGAAATTTTCTGAAGATAAGGAAAAAATGCTCCTTATTGAGTAAGGGAAACACTTCTATGAAATGAGGCAGTGATTCTTAGTCTTTTCTAATGTTGCAATAGAAGACCTGTGGAAGACTGTTCATGACTCCTGAGGCTCCCTTTTGTTAAAAAATATATAAAAAAATAAATATAAAAAAAGAGGTCACTGTTTGTTAGGAAACCTCTTAAGGATGCTTTGTAAAGAACTATATCTGGCCAAAAGGAAGGTCTCAGCATAACATTAGTGATTTACAGTAATAATAACACGTTGCCTCTCTAGTGTGCACAGAGGAAATACTCCTCAGTAATTTTAACTCAAAACCTTTTTATGGCTGTCTGATTTCTAAATAACTAGTTAAGGTTAAGTTTTCTTTTGGGTACAACGAAACAGCATGATTATTTAAGGAATTTGTGAAGGTGGCTGGAAACACAAAACAGAATGATGTCAAAAGTTTTACTGTGTGAAATATATAAACCAGTGTAATATATAAGTGCGTTATGCAAATCTCAGTTACCATGTTCCAGGGAAAACTGAAGAATGATTGCAGGCAGAAACTAAGTAGCATTGGAAAAAGAGCTACCCTCTGAATTCAGACCGATTTCATTTTGCTCTTTCAAAAATTGTGGATAATCATTGTTATCTGATCAGTCCAAGAGTAGCACTAGTAAAGCAATAATTTTGCATCTTGTAACTATTTCATCAGTTTAACACGGAATTTCAAAACACGATCACTCTGATGAACAGTGGATTACATGAATATGCAGTCTTCAACAGTTATGTCAGGCTCTTCACCCCATCCATTGTATATATTATATCCTGAAACTTAAATTGAAATATTCATAGCTCACTGGACACAAATGCAAAATTGATTGAGTCGGGTATGTGGGGAAAATGTGCAATCAAAGAATGAGAAAGATGCAGTCTGGCCTGGGAATGCATTGCAGAGGTGAAAATGAGGAGGAGGTGCCCAAAGCATAACTCCCATGACACACTGTGGTGGCACTTCTAACTGCACCGTTTGCTTTCTCAGGTAGGAGGATTCCAGTAAAAGTGGGACTGGGGGGGGGGGGGAAAGAAAAAAAAAAAGAAAAAGAATGGAAATTTGGAGTAGGAGGGAAGATTGTTTTCTTGTGGCCTTTTTTATCCAAAATTACCCTTCCTAAACAATTTCCAAACAGTTACTCATATATAAGATCAAAAGTTTCACATTTTTAGTGGTTTCAACTGTAGTAGATATGCAAATGCATACATGCTGTATTTGCTTTATAGTAATGAGAATACAGAATCTGTTTTGTCAGGAGAAGGATTAGGGAATCTCAAAATCCTGAAAATGCAATGGCTGTGCTTTAATGGAAAAAAAGAATAATCCAAAAAAAAGAAATGATTCTTCAAATCATTCTGTGGAGCTGATACTTTACAGTTTTCTGAGATTTGAGAACCATGATCCCCTGGGGTACTGAGATGTTGCTGTTTGAAGAGTCAAAGCATCAAGAATAAAAGCTCTGCTACACACGTAGACCTCATATGAAGAGGCAACGCAGAATGCTGCTTTCATAGTTTCAGATCTCAGACCTTTAAAACATAAAAAAAAGCTCATTAGACATCAAAGTAATTTCTGCTGATTTGAAGCTCCTTACAAAATGTGGCATAGATTTGCTGCATATCAAGAAATAATTCTGATTCAGACAATTATATGGTTCTTTATGTGTGTGTTTTTCTTTCCTACAGCAGTAAATTCTTCAATATTATTCAGTTGAATATTATTCAATATTATTCAAGGTTTCCTTAAAGTGCAGAACCTCACAAATCTAAAAAATTAAATCAAATAATGGCTAAACGAGATGGGGTTCAAAGTAGAGGATGGTTAATGTTTTACTTACTTAGGAATGATCCAGTGTATTACGCATCATCTCCTTTATACTTTGTTCTCGTATCTTCTTCAGCACAGGTGGTCTCCCGGTTTTTCCATGGGTGAATATGCTATCAGTTTTTGAGCATCACTGCCCTGATCAAACAGAATAAAAATCCTAGGCATATTTTAAGCTCTGAGAAAGATGTTGAGAAAAGAAAGATGGCAAATTCAGCTGCAGCATCTGACTGTGCTTTAAATGTGCTTTGAATACTCTTCCCTGTCTGTCCTGATGCTTTGGTTGAGCTTGTTGTCCCTTGAGCTGACATGATAGAAATTAATTTGAATCACCAGATTTCTGCCCAGCATATTAATCCAAACTGCTAACAGCCAGACTATTGTAGGGGCAAAGCAGCGTAATCACCAGAACTAATCTGAGGTTGTGAGTGAGTATCTTATTCCAGTTTATTGTACAAAATTCTGATTTGATGACCACTTCTACAATGACTCCTCTTCAAGTTCCCATACTTCTGTAACTATGGCAAGGTTTGGCTAAAAAACATTTTAAAAACTGCAGGATCATTAGCAGAATGGTTTTCACCATGGTTTGGTGATTACAGCTTTTGTGTTTTGTGTCATCTGTATGTTATGATAGTTTTATGTTCCAGTGACAAAGTAAATGCAGATTCATGTATCTGGCCTTTCATGAATATGTCATTTGCCTAATTGTTTCATCATCTTCAGATGCCTCACAGTTGTGAGTGGAGCTGACTTGTAGGCCTGGACAGGCTATTTGAACTGAATGTTAAGGGCAAATAAAGATGAACTGAGTTTCCCAAGCTGACTGACACTAATGAATAGCTATGTTTTCTTTAGCTGAGGAATATGTAAAAAGAAAGAGGGGGAGAGAGAGAGAGACAGATCTGCAGAGGAATTTTTTTTTTTCTTATAAAAGCTCTGGAGCACATTTCTCATTAGGAGAAACACGATATGAAGATGACTTGGGGAACCCAAGGTGACTTAGGGAATTAACTGTTGAAAGGGTTAAAATTCCTAGTGTGTAATACCTAATGCAGCAGTAGAAGCTACAGATATAGGAAAGAGGTAGAAAAAGTGAAAGAGCATCTGAGAAATAGAAGACAGTTCAGTTCTGCTGAGAAAAATAAATAAATAAATAATTGTCCAAACTCAGTTGTGCCTCATCCAGGGGACTTGAAGATAGTATGTTGAGAGCATTCAACGTGATAAGAAAACAAAGATTTTTAACACAGAAGTTTCTGCCTTGTCATTTTCCTGAGGGGGGGGAAAGGCAAAACCAGAGGAACGATAAAAAAGATCCAGGTCTGTCACATACCACAGACTCATCCTCTTGAAATCACTAACAATTAGTATGTCAGAATGAAAAAAAAAAAAAAAAAAAAAAAAAAAAAAAAAAAAGAAAAAAGACAACAATTAGGTGATGAAAGATTTTAATGTCAGGAAAAACAGCAACTACTCTCTACCTGAGGAAAAAATAAAACTCCATTCCTATAAATGCCAGTTACATAAGAATATGGGCAATTACACTGTTGAAGAAATCTGTGACATAAAGTAGGCACTAGAAAATATCTATGAAATGTGATTCCCATTCATAGAGCTTTCTGAACTGCAGAACACCCACAGAGTAAAATCAGTTGCAGATTGGTCACTGTGCATCATGGAAATAAAAAAAATAGGACTAGAGGGGAGTCTGAGTGGCTGTATAATCTAACCTCCAAGCTAAGGCAGATGAGAGCTGAAACTTTCTGGCAGACCAGTGCAGTCATACACAATGTGCTAAACGTGTTCTGGGGGCTTTGTTTATTTTTAAATTCCCTTAGTAGGTCAGCAAGATGCTCTCCCAACTGTACACAAAAGTCGATGTTCTTAAAACAGCTAATAGCACTGGAATGCACTCATGTTTATTTATTTGATCATAAACCAAAACAACATTCAAATTTAAATTCTGCTGTGCTGCTCAAGTTGATTCAGGGAAGAAAGAATGAAGTTAAACTTTTATCTGAATGTTTTCTGTTTCTGCAGCATCTATTCCGTCGCAAATAGAGGCACAGAGAGTACGGGAAAAAAAGCAGCACCCGTCAGTGCTCCTTGCATGTTAAAGAAACTTTATGAAGAGAACATCCACGCCAGTAGAATCTATTACCCAAGGGACTGCGTTTCTGCTGTATGTGGCATGTGTATCTGTCCTCTAATGCATTCACAGAGATCAAAATGTTCCGCATCGTAATATCTGCATTCAACAGATGGAGCATTTGTCTCTGAGAAAAATCACAGTAAAAGCAGTAGCGCAGTGGAGGCTGACGCGAGTCTTCAGCTTTACGTTTATATACCCACAGGTTAAAGATCAGCCTGCCCTACCCTCTACCTCGAGTAATTTCCGTGGTTTTCACGGCTCAGGAGAGCCCGGAACAGACACCAACTCCGCGCAGGCGGGGAGGGCAGGGCGGGAGACGGGCACACGGCGGCCCCCCCGTCAGAGCCGCCCCGCTGCCCCTTCCCCGCCCCCTGCCCCCGCGGGCGCGCTGCGCGATTCCCTGTGCCTGGAGCTCGGGATGCTGCTCACGGAGGCTGCTCTTTGCTGGCCGTTGCGGTGGAAAGATATCTGTTGTAAAAATCAATACGGAAAAGTACATATTAATGTCTTGACCTCCTGGCAAGAACTCTTCAGAAGTAAGAGGGGGTCTCTCCGTGCCGAGTGTTAAATCTTTTTGCGCATCTACGAAAAATCTTTATGAAGAGACTTTTCCGTTATCTTTCTCTATCGCTCACTCTCACACAGACTTAGGGTTTTGTTTTGTTATTTTGGTTGGGTTTTTTTTTCTGCTCCCTCTGCCCAATGTAACCCCCCTGCCCATGCCCAGGGCTGTATCCCCGTCCCAGCCCGCGTGCCCGTACCCGGTCTCACACCCCTGCCCGTGACCGGTGCGCGCTTCTCATGTTTTTCACTCTCTGTAGGG